TCGATGGATCAAAGAGGGGAGGTGGGGCTCTTGGCTGAGGTGAGGAGTACAGAAAAGCCTCAGTTATCCAAGGTCTGCCTCCTGGTGGTTCTTGCTTCTTTGCCCAACTGGTCACAGCCCATCTCTGGCCCATCACTCAGGCACAAGGGCCGAATGCCACGAAAATGCACATGAATAAGGGTGTGGGGGTCAGGTGAACTGATCACACCAGATCCCAGTGGAGTTGGGAACTGGTGAGCAGACCCTTGTCAGACACAAGACCATACTAAACACTGCCTACTCTAGAGAGGCAAGTATTCTAGAAGCTCAATGCAAACTCTAGATGCTCAAATCAACCTGTAAGCTCTCTGATAGTTTCTACCTCTTCTCCACTCAGAAACAGCAGCAATCTGGATCTGACCCACAGGTGATTGGGACATCTGGCCCAGCAGATGGGAAACACCTTCAGCTACCCTGACTTCCTTTGGCATTGTGCTCAAGTTCTTGGGTGGTCAGGCAAAATTCCAGTATAGGAGACTCATTATCTCTAAATATCACACTGCCGTGATATTTTTAATAAAAATCCTCTTCAAACTGATGAAGCTGCTTGAAAGTCTCTCTTTGCTATCCTGATCATTATTATGCAAACAAAATTCTCTAATTCACTCTTCATAAATGTGTTCCTTTACAGATTACCAGGACCCTATAGTGGGCCAGGAACTGTGCAAGGCTTGGGGACAAAAAATAATGTGCAGATGATTTCTGCTGTTGCAGGTGGATGGTATCATGCCTGTAGGGCTATAATGAAGCAGGGTGTGGTGTGAAGAATGAATTCTCAGGGGTCTGGGGAGGGGAGAGTACTGTGGCAGGAAGCTCTCCCAGAAAACAGCCACCCATTGAGCAGGGCTTTGCTCCTGTTCGCAGATTTTAAATGATTTTTGACTTCTATGTTTTGCCCATCTGTCTCTCCATGACTAATGCTCCTACCAAATGTGGGACAAGAAGGAAATCCTAGAGTGGAAATACATAGAAAATACCCTTGGAGCTGAATTTAAGATGGCAGCATGTGGGGCTGGAGAGATGGCTCAGTGGTTAAGAACACTGACTGTTCTTGCAGAAGACAGGGTTCGAATCCCAGCACCCACATGGCAGCTAACAACTGTTTGTAACTCCAATTCCAAGGGATCTGACAGTCTCTTCTGTCCTCCACAGGCATTGCACGACACAGATGCACTTACCTACATGCAGGCATAATACTCATACACATAAAAATAATAAATAAAATATTTTAAAAAAAGATGGCAGCACATGTAGCTCGGATTTCTATAGAGCTGGTTCGCTGTGGACTTCATCCTGCTATGCTAAGTTGTGTTTGACATGGGACTTGTGGGTAAATAGGCCTTCTCAGTCTGGGAGACAGACAGGGTCCCCAACTACAGGCAATGTCATCTATTCCTGTCAAAGTTGAAGCCTTGGAATCTAGAGGGTTCTTGTAAAGTAGGCTGGTTTTGCAAGGGTGGACATGAGGCCTGAATGGGTGATGGAGAAGCAGAAATCAGGACAGGGGCTGGACTTCTGTGAGGTCCACAGCTGAATGAGTCACTTCAGTATTGTCTGGACAGTAGATCTGGTGAATAGGACTTCCATCCCTGGTGCATGCTCTTAAAGAGCCAGGCTACTGGCTTTGTCCTTCCATCTTAGGCGAAGTCACCCCTGTGACTTTGAATTCACGACACTCCTTCTGGGTCTGTTCCCTACCTCATAATAAGCTGGCAGCTTAGCAGCTTCTTTCTTAAATTGGCTAGGAAGGCAGGCGAGCTTTACAACCCAAACAATCAATCTCAAACTGCCGAACCCAATCAGGCCGGGTGGAGACCGACCCTTTAAATTGAGTGTGAAATTGGGAGATGGCTCCCCATCCTCCGGCATGTGTGGGGCACAACTTCCTCTCCTAAGTGGGGCTGTAACACCAACACCATTTTTGCAGTTTCTTGATCAAACCTGGTGCCTGGACCAGGCAGGCTTTAGGGCAGGAGGGCTGGCCATCTGGCCGCAGGCGTGTGCAACAACCAGACACACACCAGGCTTTATGCACTTGTAAATCTGCACAGTGTGTCTCTCAGGTCTGATTTTAATTTGGGTAATATTCCTGTTAATAATAACATCTAATTACAACATCCATTAAAAGTTAGTAACATTAATTTAACAGGGAGAAAATCTAATAGAGTTCTTAGAGTGATATTGGCATTTTTCCATTAAATTAATGTTACAAACTTTTAACAGGATGTCTTAAATCGGCATCATTAGTGTCGGGAATATTAAACAAATTAAATTCAGGCCTGTAATATGAGGTGGGAGCCTATTTATGAATCCAGAAAAAGGTGTCTGTTGGGCTCTTTCACCCGCTTAAGGCGTCTAGCAGGAAGTAGGGGAGGCTTTGCAGAGCTGCAGAACCCAGGTTTTCTGGAAACTTCCACAGAAGCAGCATGTCTTTCAGCCATGCTCAGTCCCTGTATCTGCATGGTTGGAGAGACTCAGGGAGGCAGTTTGTGGTGAGTGGGTGGCTGGTGAGGAGAGTTCTGGATTTGTGAGCTGGGGTCTGCAGGCCTCAGCTTCTTGGGTTCTTGTTCTCTACCTGCTGGGCTGCTGTGGCTCTAGCTGAGGCCTTTTGGAAGCTTGGTAGAGGCAAGGGGGAGGTAGAGACCAGCTCTTTACAGGACCAAAAAAAAAAAAAAACCTGCCTATTACCAGAGTCTGGGAGTTGGTGCTTTCTCTCAGCAGCAGGACCTCAGCTGTGTTGTGAATGTCAGAGGAAATGGACTGTTGGCATCTCCACTGTCTGGGAGTAGAAAATGGATTCTCTCTGACACTTACAGAACCAATTCATTTGTGACTGAGACACACTTCATCAAGACTGTCCCTTCAAAGCCAACATGACATCCATTCTCTGAGGGGGCCTCAGGTTTTGCAGGAGTCAGGACCAGAGATGATAACTACGATGAGGCTGGACACTAGCCCGAGAACAGCAGATGCTCTCTGGATGGCTCCAGAAGGTCTGCCCACCCCGCTCTTTCAGCCTCACCTGCCCTTGCTCCAAGTAGGAGCTGAGAAGCAAGGTGGCCAGCATGTCCATGCACTGCCTACCCATGTGCCTTGCTCTCTCATGGAGCAAAGCCCTGGTTAGGGCTGTGGTTGTCAGTTCTGTAGCTGATTGCTTAGCCATAGAACTGCAGAGTGTGAGCTTCGGATTGCTGGTTTTAATCCAGTTCTACCACTTTAGTGACTGGATAACCTTGAGAGGTTATCTGACAGCTCAGCCTCCTCCATTTCCTCATAGGTGAAACGGAGTTATGAACACTTAGCAGTGGAGCAAGGGGCTGCTGTACAAAGTCTAGAGGGATTCCTATCTGCTTGGCTGGGGATTCAGAAGAAAGAAATCACAGTGCCCATCCTGGTGAGCTCAGAGTAAAACTGCATGGATCAGCTCTTGATCACTCCTCGAGACAGTGGTGTGTCATGGACAGTGAGGAGTCAGAGAGGTCACAGAGTTTGAATAAAGCATCAGTCCTTGGCTGAGTTGATATGGACATGTCTCTGTCTACCAGCTTGGTGGAGCACATGCCACCCACGTGATCTCTGATGGGTCCTTTGACATCTCAGTTGAGGTCTGGTATAGAGGGAACTGGCCTCTCAGGGCCATCTGCTCAGGTTCTCTAGGGACATTTGAGATAAGGAAAGCTTAGGCAGGTATCACCATACCCAGCAGGACCACAGAGTCCTGATGAGAGCTGACATGCTCTGCTGTGGCACATATGTTGCCTTGATAGATTTATTTATTATTTAAACCATGTATGAAATAAATCTCTGTGGTTCAGAGTGGCACACAGGACAGAGATAGGTGGGGAGGGGTAATGAGGGGGTCCTTGCCCTGAGTGGGGCAGACTAATGCTGAGAGAAGAGTAAGGATTGGGGGAGGGCATGAACTAAAAGGAATGCAACAGACCTGCTTCTAGCCACCAACCAAAAAAATACCACAACTTCTTTTTGTACTATATCTCATCTTCAAGAAAATCAGTATGCTGTATATTGTTAGCTTTTTTTTTCATTCCTTTCATTTTTTTTTTTTAGATATTGTCTCATGTAGAAAAGGCTGGCCTCGATCTCACTGTGTATTGAAAGATTACCTAATCCTCCTGCCTCCATATCCCCAGTGCTGGGATTACCAGAGTGCATCACCATGCTCATCTTAGACATTATTTTAAACAGATATCTATGCCAGGCTTATTACTACTACACTATATGCTTATTTGAAGGCAAGGACTTTATGATGTTAGTTCATCTTCTCTGAAAAAGTCATAAAAACTGGTATTTTAATCAGATTCAACTGAACTCAGTGGGGACTGATTATATAAAGAGATCATGAGTTCTTTTCTAAAGCGACTCATTTTTCTGCTCCAAGATATGTTCATGCATCCATATAGGAGATGTATATGTGTTATATATATATATATACACATTATACATAGACACACCTTATATATACATATACATTATATACATTGTATAGGTACAAATTATATGTATTCTTACACATATTTTATATACTCACAAATATGCATTTGCATATACTTTTAATGAAGCATTTCTGCAATACATATCATACATGTTTGCTCATACATGTGCCTAATAGTCAGGTCACAGTTTTCAAAACTGCACCTTGTTGAGTCAGATGACAGGGTCCACAGGCCATGTCTGTCCCCTTCTGACCACATGGCTTTGGTATATCACTTTCTGTGCAGCCTCAGTTTCCTCATCTGTACAGTGGGGTCACAATAGTTACCTTTTGGGGCTGTGTCAAGTGTTAAAAACAATATCTCAATCTCAGCTGGTATCTCATAGATATGCGTTATACTTGCTAAATACATGGTAGTTATGATTATGTTTACAAGTGTTAGAATAAAAAGAAGTAAATCAAATGAGCTCTTCAAGTTTTCCTAAATTCATAGTTAAATGGAATACACTCATCTATCTATCTATCTATCTATCTATCTATCTATCTATCTATCATCTATCTATCTAAATATCTTCTCTCTATCATCTACCATCTATCTTCATCATCATCTATTATCTATCATCTATCTATCTATGTAATAGGAAAGGTCTTTGCTATAGCTCTTTCACTGTTCTTGACATAGTTGTCTTGGGGACCGAATGAGGCACCCACAGGATAAAAACGTCAATTGAAGCTAATATGTTGTGCATTGCTTTCATGTTTAAATGTTCTGAAATTTGAAATGGTGGCACAAGGCAGGGTTCTTTGTTTTGGAAGCTCACACTGCAGATGGAAGGGGCTTTTCTCAGACAATAAGCGTAGCTCTGCCTGGAGGGCAGGTTTGCATGGTGGTAACATACATTGAACAGCTTCAGATTCAGATGAAATCCCATCAAGACCGAAGCAGTTGCAGGCACACGCCACTGAGTCTGAATTTTAAGGGAAGGTGCTTTCCCAACTCCATCATGACAGGAGAACAGACGAGAGCAGAACATGAAAAGGAGAAACTGAAGAAACCTCTGCTTCTAAGTAGGGCTATGGAGCATGCAAATCCTTACAATGCATGTATGTGTTTTTAAACAGCCCAAAGAAGCAAGGACTCTATTGGGAGCCCTGCCATGAGAGGCTAGCCCACCAGGGCTTTCCAGAACTCAGGGAAGGCACCCAGCCCTTGGGTGAGGTGCTCAATCAGTGGTGTCGTGCTAATCCTCCTTAGGGTCTGCTCAGATAGCATTGCTCAGGAGCATGAGTCTGGGTGAGGTCTTCCTCCCTGACAGAACTATACACTCTAACAGTTGAATGGCTGACTGTGTGGGTGCACCCAGGTTTCCACAAGCAGCTCATCGGCACTGAGCTGGTCATGCATTGCCGCCAGATGGTTCAATTCCTGTGACTATTTTCTGAAGAAGTGAACAGAATAGCAGGCAGCCTAAAGAAACCAGCCTCTCCTACCAGAACGGAGGGACCCTTGCCTGCATGCTAGATTCCCTGTAGGTCAAAACAGCACAGTTGTGCCTGTCTTTCTGGAGTTTCCCTTCACCTTCCTTTTATTGGGAAGATTCTGATTCTTCTTTCTATTCCTCATTATAAAGCAAAAATCATTCTAAGCCTGTAATAATGTGAGTTTTGTGATCAAACATGTAAACAGAAAACATTTCACCTCCTCTGTGACATGCCCTGGAGGGAATCCCCTCATTTCTGATCATGGAGTGCTTGGAAAGTAGACTCTGGGTGTGAGGCTACAAGAGTCAGACTCAACGGTGACAATCCTGTTAGGTCTCTGAGTGAGGCACTTCTCAGATGGCAGGACTTCCTTGCTTTCCAACCAAGCCCGTGAATCTGTGCCCATTCTTTTCCATTTCTACCCTAGCCCTCAATTCCCATGGGAAACTTTGCCATAGTCAAAGGTGACACTCAAGGTGACACCCATATTCAAAGTGCAGTGCCTTTGCACACACACTCATGGTCTGAAACTCTTGACTGCTTTGTCTTCAAAGAGGCAGAGGAACCTTATGAAGTAAATGGCCTAGAGTTTATGTCATTAATGAAACTCTAAGGTGGCCTTGATAAGAATGGTCATAAAAAGCCTTTGAAATATCTGAGTAAAAATTTCTCATTCCTAAAATCTTAGGCTATAATGACTTTAGCTTGTAACAGTTCCAACCCAAGGAGAAGGATGCATACGTGCATGCACCTTTTGGGTGATTGGGTCATGTGGCAAGGACAGTCTAGCCCTCTGCCTTAACAGCCCAAACAGGTATCCAGTCTCCTCCAAACACAGGAAAGTGTGTGTATTCTAATACCAAACCAAGAGTATGAAGAAAACAGGTAACCTCAGCACAGCTCATTTGGTGGGAAGAACACGGAACTGCAAATGAATTCTTGAAGCCACAACTTTAACATGTGGCATTCAGCTCCTCTGCATGTTCTTGCATGTTCTTGGAAAATCTCATCACAAAATTAAGCGTTCTTTTAACAGCTGTATGTCCTGATATCGTTCAACAGATGCAATACGTTTAAGTCTGGCATTGGCACATTGGTGGTCTAAGGCTAAGGACCCGAGGAACCCCTTGATCACAAAGCTGGAAGATGAATTTCAGTGGACTTCTGGACCCTTGAGTGGCTCACTGATGGGGAATAGGCATGTCTCCCTTGTTTGTTCAGAAACTTGCTATGGGCAGATGTAGCATTTGATCATGGCTGAAACCAGCTGGATGGTTTGGCTTTCAGACATGAGTGAACCAGATGCTCAAAAAACTTGTGCAGCGAGAATCCTTAAAAACTACAAGTTGGAAAAATCACCAAAAGTTACATTGCCCACCAAATATCATGGTGGTTTCAAGGTCTGGTGGTGGTTTCAAAAAAACTAATTTGTAACCAGTACAAAGGGTAATCAAGGAGGAACTGGGAACTGGGAACTGGGAGCTGTTAATTGACATAAACCACATACCTCAGAAAAGAGCTCCCAGGAAATGCAGGACTCAGACTCACAGTAGCTGTGCACTCTGCAGAAGGCACAGAGGAAACATGCAAGGATATTTACATCTCAAATACTGGAACAGTTGCAGACCGCTGCCTGATGCTCTGCCATGCAGCAACAGACTCTGTAATAAACCTGAACTTCAAAAAAGACTCCAAAGATCATCTAAGCATCATCCTAATGCGTTCTTTCAGGCTTAACTTTCTTTTTAAAATAGGTACACAATGATGCATATTTACCTGTGCTGCATGTGTCTATGGTGTCTTGTCAGGTGTTTTCTTTCATTGTTCTTTGCTTTATTTTTTAAAACCCATACCGAAGGGCATTGGGGGCCACAAATTAAACTCTATAGACC